TTCAAGCTTTCGTCATTATCCTCAAGAACCCCTACCATTCACTATTGAGAATCGTCTTCTGCAGTCTTCAGTTCCTGCAAGCCAGTCCAACTTGTCTTCATCTCGACTCACCGCAGATTTATAAGGCAGACTTCTGGCACTTGCTCCGGCACATCGTTCTCACCGGCATCACTTGCCAGTGCGTAGTACGGCATGCATTACACATCGGCATATCATTCGCACCCGTGTCACTTGCCCTTACGCACACAGCATGCATTCCCCACCGGCATTAAAAGGACACACCGGCAATCGGACTGCACTATCGACCTCCGGTCTGAGCAGGGGGTGATGTGGCGGCGCTGTCGTCGCGCCGCAACGGAAACACACCGAAGCTTAAATCACGCTATCAACATTCCGAATCATAAACAGCATATATAGAACATCTCCGAACTATCACATGGAGTGTTGGCCGCTCCCCGGGCATAACACCTTGCCCGGCGGGAGATCTCCCCTTTTCCTTCATCGGCCACATGCAGATTGCTTGTATATTTTTTTCTTCTTCTGTTGCAGCTTCTAATAAGTGTCGTTTATTTTTTATACTTCTCATGTTTTGGTATAACACATCAAAGTTAGTGACGAACATTATTATTATTTATGTTCAGTAATTCGCATTGTGTACTTGTTGATGGTTTAGGATTTTTCACATCATGTTTATTTGTTTGAATTTCGTGTTGGTTTTTGTCGACACTTAGGCCGTGCTTTTGGGCTGTTTGAGAATTTGTGTTTGATATCTGGTCTATCTTATATTCTCTACCGTTATTGAATAGTTTATTATTGCTAATATTTGCCTTTTGATCACTTTTTCGTGCTTTAATTAAAATAGCGATCATTTCTTTTCTTTTTTTTTAGTGAATCTTCATTTAGGTATTCTGATATGGCTAGTCCTGTACTTCTGAAATAATGTCGGTGCTGTAGAATATAATTAGTAATATTTTTGCTTAATAGTTCAATAATTATCGGTCTTCGCTTTTGTATTTTCCCCCTTCTTTCTACTTCTTCTATATAGCCTGAGAGGTTAATGTTCATAATGTCTTGGAAAGCATACACTATTCTATCATGCAATCCATGTTTGTCTTCCCAAGGTTGTTCATCTAAGCCATATAGTACAATTTTTTTTTATAAGTATTTGTTTTATTCTCAGTATTCTGATAGTTTTTGTCAAACTTTTTATTCATAACAATCTCTTGTATTTATTTTATTTCTGTTTCTAGTTTCTTACTTATTTTTTCTAAACTTTCAATATTTTCAGTTATTTTTGTGTAAATTTTTTATCCTCGACGTTCTGTGGTAAGATTACTTGCGTTTCCTTTGTGACAGTTTTTGAAGCAATATTTTTAATTTCAGTTATAATTGATTTTTTTTAGCTCAGTGACTATCTGTACCTTTAATATTTTTAGTTTTTTATCCAGTTTTCCTCCCAACGTTGTAAAATGAAAGGGCTAACTAACTTTTCTGCCGGCATATCAGTTCCAGTACTAGTAGTAATAGTACTAGTATGCTGCATATATAGCGAGCAGTGCCGTAGAGTGTCTCCGAAAACTCTCAGAGTCGTCTCTGAAGATGCTATCATTTGCATTGGAGGTACATTTTGTTCTCAGAGTAATGTTACTTATACTAGGAGATTGTTGTTCTTCAGTCAAGCCTGTATATGTGTTTAATTTCAGGTCGCGTATGGGGGTGTTTGTGTATATAATTTTAGGCATACGGCAAGTTTGACAAATCCATTTATTTTGCGCTCAGGAGACATAATATTATAAAAACGTTTAGAACTAACATTTGCGCAATCTAGATCATAACTTTCATTGCATTTAGAACATAATAAATATTGCCTGTTTGTTATAACTTGAAAACAGCCACTACACTTTAATGTTACTGACGCCATCTTGTGGTGTATATGAGGTCCAGTCTACTGATCAAGTACTTAAAAGTCTTTTGTTCGTCAATTTCTATATTGCTATAAGATGGCACTACTCTCAACGTATTTGTACTTTAATAACTTAATTTTAAACTTAAATAAAATTAAATAAGCGCCATCTATTATGCAAACTATATTAAGCTATTTATTAGTCCAAGGCAGTCGATTCATTTGCGTTGTTTTAGTTTTATTCAGGTTAGATGGAGCTATATGTTACAGTTATATACTCTTCAATAATTATCATATTGTAGATTTAATCACACATTTTTTTTTAAATTATAGATTTATTCGAGAAGTCCATTGTTTCTAATAACTAAGATTCATTTTTTCGTTTACTGGAGGCAGAATAACTAAATATTTTTTTTAAATAAAGTTTGTAACGGTTTTAATACATTTGAATTGAATTAACTACAATTATAAAAATTATAGACTTAATTAATAGTTACTTTCCTACAATTCTTATAGTATCCAATTAGTTATTTTGATTAAATGTGGTTTTGATGCATTTTATCATTTTTTTGCTACTAAAATATTTCCAATTTGGATACACACAAAAATCAAAATAAATCCGTTTGCACTAGTCACTTTTACTGGATAACATTTGTAGTTTTTATTTACACTATAACAAACTCACTTAACTATGAAACGACAACAATAATTCACATTTAATATTTTTAAATGTATAAAATTACGGAACCGATGTTTACGTGACAGTAGCGCGTCACCACCCCTAACACCTGATTTCCATTACAAAATAACTATTAACTTATATATAAGACTGTACTTAAGCTATTCATTAAGTTAAAGCTCAAACAATATAATTATTAATAAGAAAATGAATAAAACAATTTCAATCCATTTTCAATATTTGTAAACTTATCTTAATTTATTATCACAATAAAAATAACTACAATTTTACATCGAAAATGGAATTACCAATAGAAGACTTAATAATCCATAGCAAGATATGCATAATACTTCTGAGGTTCAAGTACATTTATTTTCGGCTGAAAGACCATTCGCCTATTTATTGATTCGTAGTTAAAATTTTCGGGATTGAGTTATTTCTGCCAAATACTCGTAAACCTACTAACTTTAAAAATTTAGACGTTATCTAACTTTGACATACTTTCTTTCGAATATTTATTTTTTGGCAACATAAAATTCGTGATAATCATCGTTCTCAACATTTTTACATACGGTATTTTATAACTTTGAATAGTTGGTTATTTTATTTACCTTTGACGGCAAAACATCGTTCATAAAACCTCAGATGAAGTAAAAAAAGGAAGATATCGCACCTAGAACAAGAAACTGTAACCAATTTTATAACTTTGTGTGAGTCAGAGAAGTGTTGCCACTTTTTTAAAGTCCCTTAAAATCGAGATACAATACTACAACTATAAGAGTAACATGCGATGCGAATGTGTATATCTATCTGTTTTTAAATTTCAACAATTTGACTTTTCAAAATATGATGAAACACGTACACGGTAGATCATTCAAAAGTCTTCTTGATATATTGTTCGGTGAGCATGTAAGCATCGATAAAATATACAACATATGTAATGTAAAACATGTTTATTATAAAAAATAACTTAATACTAAAAAAACTAGTTGGAATAAAAAATAAATTTCCATGGAATTAAAAGTATTCCTTTCTAAATTAAAAAAGTATATTTTAGTAAATGCAAAACAGAACAAACTCCAGCCGGTGGCACAAAGGAGTATTCTAATTTGGAACCCGGGTAGGAGAGATATGAAGTATCAGACGGAGAGGACACCTGAGTCTCGGTTAAAAAGAGCAAGGCCGACTTCGCCGTCTCCGGGTGGTAGTGGACAGCATTAAGATTGGATGCTCAGCGAAGTATTCTCCGTCACCAGGAGTGAGGGTAACCTCTTGGGGTAGTTTGATTCCGCAACGATGTTAATGGGGAGGAGGAATTGGGCCTCCAGCCCAAGCAAAACGCAGAGGTGAACCTCTACTTCACGCAGGTATTCTACTAACTAATTTAAAAAAAATATGCTGACTACATATATTTTTATATGTATTTAGCCTAAAATTAATTACCCAAATCTTGGACCATTAGAAATAAGAAATACTGGCAACATTCTCCCGTTACGTAATCTCGAAACATTGACATTCGTGCTTCGAATAACCTTCAAAATTGTGTTTGAATAACAAATTAAAATATGTTTACGAGTGAAACGATATTTCTTCAGACTTTTTGTTCACTTTAATATTGTTTTTGCTCCATTTAACTACACAGGACGGCATTTTGTATGTAAATTTACTGCACGACGCCCCAGGAAGTACTGAGCGAAAATGAGCGTAGTTTGATGCATGTGTGTGCGTGAACGCGTGTGCTTACATAAAGGAGCGGAGTTCTTAGGCTTCACCAATAACAAGCGCCGCGCTGTATCTACCTTTTTTTACTTCATCTGAGCATAAAACATAGCTCATGAAGAACCATGTTTATGAACGATATATCGATGTTTGAAAGAATTAATGTATCGTGTGCATCCCTAGTCGCGCATCGAATAAGTGCCATAACTCCCTTTCTCTAGTATATAGTCAGTAATCTATGACTCCAGCGTGACCATTTTTAGTAGATTTCTACTTTTTAGTAGATTTGAAGCAAATAAGATGATAATCTAGTAGGATAAAATGTCTTAGTAGAATTTAGTAGAAATGAGAAACACATCGGTAGGTTTTGGTATTAATTCTCTGTCAAAAATATTAGGCTTAAAACCAAGCATCCACGTCCAAAAAGTTTTAATTTTACAGTTGGCAGCACACGAAAGTGATTTGGGGGGATTCCCTTATTTATTGAATAAACGGTACTGTGGGCATAGCAAATTGAATTTCATTTTCCAATAGATAAAGGCTATTTTTGTAAAATAGGTCTTTCAACTTAGATAATTTTAAAGTTGCTTCTATAATGATAGACTAGACAACACAATTTTATTAGTCGTTTTCTGAGCATGGAATGTGGATAGACTAGTGGGAATTCCTTTATTGAGATTTTTTATAATCGAATTTAAAATGAAACGTAAATATACACAAGGATATCGCGATGAATGGGAGCAAGATCCCTTATTAAAAAGTTGGTTATGTAAATCTAAGGTAAACACTACGAGTGCTCATTCAAGCATGCAACTGTGAAGTACTAAGTAGAGTGGCGTCTTTGAAAGAACACATGGCCACATCAAAGCATATAAAAAATATGAAAGGATATTCCGGCATTTCTCAGGTATGCAAGTTACTTACGTTAATATGTGGAATGTAATTCTTAGTTAATTATTCTTGTTAAGATTTTTTTTTAATACTTTCAACTTACGCAGTAGTGTGAACCCGTATTATGTTTTAAAGTTCATGAATTTTATTTTCATTCAAAATTCAAACATTCGCTGTTTTATGTACGTTTATTACCTACGCATTTACATAACGTGTTTATTCATGTTAAATGCTATGTAAAAATTGCTTAGTATTTGATACTACATAGCGCTATATGAAATGTCCTGTATAATTATTTTTAACTTCTTTGGTTACAGATTGATACGATTTTCAAAACATCAACCATTTCGGAAGAAGTAAAAAAAGCAGAAATCAGCATTGTAGCTGCCTTAGTTGAACATAATATTCCTTTTCGCGTAATGGATCATGTAAGAGAAGTTATTTCAAGGGCATTTCACGACTCCGAAATCGCAAAACGTTTTTCCTGTAGAAGAACTAAATCTGCCGCAATTGCCTACAACGTCTTAGGCAATAACTTCGAGGAAAAAATGCTTGCAGAATTACGTCCAAGACCAGAAAATGAAACTGAGAGAAGCCCAGTATTTTCGCTCATTATCGACGAGAGCACAGATGTCAGTACTACCAAGGTACTTGCAGTAGCAGTAAAGTACTACTCTGAAAAATTGCAATCTCCACAAACAAAATTTTTGTGTATGGTGGACTTAAAAGGTGATACTGCGCAAGATTTGTTTGATAGTTTAACATGTGCCTTATCTGAAAAAAACCTTATTATAGCTAATTTAATAGGGTTCGCTGCTGATACCACGAATGTAATGTCCGGCGAAAGGAGTAGCGTGGTATCTAAAATTAGGAAAGTCAACCCAAACTGCATTTTTTTCAAATGTATTTGCCACTCAACAAACCTTTCAGTGAGTTATGCATGCAAAAAATTACCTCATTCTATAGAGTTGTTTGTCAAAGATGTTTTTTCATACTTCTCTCACAGTAGCCAACGACAAAGAGACTTTGTGGAATTTCAAAATTTTACTGACACTCCAACTCACCATATGCTTCGTCATTATGATATCAGGTGGCTTTCTCTACATCAATGCATACACCGAATTATAGAGCAGTGGTCAGCATTAAAACTTTTTTTTCAAAATGAGTTTTTAGGGAATAAGAATGCCAATGCTACTTGTCAATTTATATTTGATCACCTTAACAGCGATGAGACAAAACTTTATCTTTACTTTTTAGATTTTATATTACCCATAACTACAAAATTTAACGTTATTTTTCAAAGTGATCAGACACTTATTCATAAAATTGGAACAGACATACAAAACATGATGAGTTCAATTTTGAGTTGTTTTATGAAGATAAATTATATAAAAACTACTCCACTTCAGTCAATAGATCCAAGTTCAAGAATGCATTTCCTTCCTATACAAAACATGTACCTGGGCACAAACGTAGCAATGACATTGGAATCATTAAAAGATGATGTCCGAATGAGATCTAAAATTGAGGAATTCCTTAACAGATGTCAGTCATTTTTGATCGAGCTGAGTAACCAATTTCTGCAAAGACTGCCTGTACAAGATAATTTTTTGCAGGATTTGTCATTCATCGATCCCCAAAAAAGCGGTGTATGGTGAATTTCGAACTCTGATAGGAATACTCAAAAGGTTTCCTAACATAGTTGCAACCGAAAACATGCAAATTGTTGACAATGAATATAGGGAATTAAAATTAGATGTTTCCGTGTCTAATTTATTGTCAACTTCTAGTTCGACATCTGAAACTTTTATGGTGGATAAATTTTGGAGCGAAGTCAGCCAAATCTGTGATGCGAATAGCAAACCAAAGTATGGCAATTTGTCCCGATTTGTGAAGCAAATGACGATACTACCTTTGTCAAACGCCAAAGTAGAAAGAATATTTTCCGATATTAATAGGATTAAAAATCAAGATCGAAATCGATTTAATAATAAGAATGTTGCAGCAATAATGCATGGAAAAGAGGGGCTACGACAGTTGGAAGGAGGATGTAGCAGATTTAATCCTAACAGAAGTATGATCAAGTTAATGGACTCAAAACAGCTTTATGACAATGTAACCCAACAAAAAAATGATGAAGAATCTTAACTTTAAGTTTCATTTTATTCTTTTTTTTTTTAAATTATATTTTTATTTAGAATTTAAGTTTAAAAAAACATTAGTTTCTTTAATTAATGGTTGTTTCTTTGTTATTTTATTATTTTATCGTTTAATCTAAAAAAAATCATCAAATAAATAGATTTTTAGTATTTTCTCGTTCTGTTTTGGTAGAATTCAGTAGATTTTAACCTCCACAAGCAGTAGATTCGTCATATGAAATCTGGTCACGCTGTATGACTCCCTTATAGTTCATAAAAGATAGCTTGATCTCTGCGACAGCCGACAGCTGTCAGTAACATCACGCCTATGAAGTCCTGAATTTCTTATGCCCGGTTTCTGAAGTTCCCAGTTATATTCCCATTAGCTATTGATTCAATTACTTTAATTAATTTAAACCATTATATAATGATTTTGACTCATCAGCACCATATTACACCATAGGTATGTAAGTTTAGTGTTTTTCTAACATCATATTACATCAGAATTCAGCATTTATTGAGCATGCTTTTACCTGATGTTTTGGTTAAATTCTTCTTATATCCACTATTTCAGCATAGGGCTATACATAACCTGAGCAATTAAAATTATCAATTTAAGTTTACAGGGAAAAAATTAGTTTAAATATAATCAAACTTACTAATAATTTCATGTGAAATAGAATAAAGAAAATGAAACAAAATATAATAAAATAATCATTTATTTAATGTGGTTTAAGTACCCATGCACCAATTTCTGAATATAGATTTATCTGTTCAATCATCAGCTACAGAAATTGAAATAGAAACTTATTTATTTAATACAGATTATAAATAATACTTATTAAAAGTCACTTTTTTCATTTACCACTGGTTCGCAAAAAAACACCTCTGTCCTGGGAAGAATTGGCAAGAAACCAGTCCCGTTGGACTATTTTTTTTAAATAATAAAATTACACATAACACAACAGTGACTGATTTTTGCAATTTATTCATTACAGATATTGTTGAAACACAACAGCTAAACGATATGCACGATTCTTCTCAAGAAGTATTGGGTGCAAAAGAAGATTCTGTGCATCAACTTCAACAAGTTAAAGGTTCCAAAAGAAGGATTTCACCTCTTCTGGTATCTGACATCACACCGAAAAAAAAAATTTGTTTAACTGAAACAATAAAGAAAAATATAAATAGCATCAGTGATTCAATAATAAAAAGAAAAAACCAGAAGCAAATGAATGAAGATACCATAACAACGAAAAAATTAGAAATATTGGAGGTTCAACTTCAAAATGAACATATGAAATTAGAAAAAAACAAAATTTTGATGGATCTTGATATTGAGTTAAAGCGGAATCTTTTAGAAAATTCAAAAACGGACTTAGAATTAAAAAAAGAATCTTTTAGAAAATTCAAAAATGGACTTAGAATTAAAAAAGAAGAATTTTAATCAATAATCACCAACATATAATAAATTAAAATTCTTATTTTAAATCCTAAGTCCATTTTTGCACTTTGTAAAAGATTTTCTTTAACTCTATATCAAAATACAGTAAATTTTTTGTTTTTGTTATTTGATAATTTCATATTGATGTTGAATCTTCAATATTTGTATTGTTTTGGTTTTTATTAATTAAAACTCTTGTTTATAAATTCTATTGGTACGACTTTCCATTGACGTCCATCGAATTGAGGGGGAGGGGGAGGGGGATGGAGGGGGGGAGGTTTAATACCCCCCCCCTTAAAAGGAAAAGTTGCGGAGCCCCCCCCTTTTCGAGTTTTTTCATTTTTAATTCTGAGAAAATTTTCCTCATTTTATGGATTAATATTAAGTGTAAAAAACCAGGACTCCTCCTTGGGGGAGGGGGGTTCTCCCCCTACGGAAGGGGGAACCCCTTTCATCAGAAAAAAAAATAGGGGGGACTGATTGAGAGGGATTTCTGTGTCTATTTTGAGACTGCAATGTCTACGGCGCTGCGGGAAGAGCAGCCTCTTCGCCTTTGCGTAACAAATCGCAAGCACTGCCACTATTTGTAAGAAAGGATCTTTGCGATATTTAGCAGTGAACCAACCTTATTTCCTCGGCATAGTAGTGGACTCTTCGCCCAGACGAACCAGGAGCTTGAGGTTCCGCATCAGCCACGCTGCTCTCAGACGACGTTGGAGACGCAGGCGGCAGTACCGACACGGTACTGGGAACAGTGGCGCGGGAACTACCAGCTATTGATTTCGATAGCACAGTCATGGGCACAAGTGGCTCACTAGAGTCCAACACTTGCACACAGGGGGTGCCTGCAGAAGAGCTCGCGACAAGTGGCTCATCAGAGTCCAACACTTTCACTACACTCAATTCTACAGACGGCACAGCAGAACACGAAACTTGGGGCTTCGGAGACGCCATGATGGTAGTCAAACGTTGTTTTCACGACAGGAGTACGTAAACGATCTCAACTGCTAGGAACACAAACGATGACAGTGACTGAGGAAGACACTGACAACACTAAATAGCGTCAGTTTTACGTTTCGTTCCACAAGCCGGGAAAAGGCCGTAAACACTGCACATTTTAATTTTAATAGCTCGTAATGAAAATAATTGTTATTTAGTTAAATATAAACTGCTAAATATATATGCATGCATGAAAACTATTAAAATGGATACAAAATATAATTATTTGCGTAAATTTTTATAAAATGAAATGTCACCCAACATTTGACAAGTTAACCGTACTTAAAACGGAACATTCAATGTCGTGATATATCTGTAATACGATATAATCTATGGTAGAATTTGACATAAATATTGCAAAAATTATTGATTTTCGATAATTTTTTTCTCAAAAACTACGCGTTTCCGCATGTTGAAACTTTGCGTGTGTACTTATATTAATGTCATCCTTCTGTAAAAAAAAATATCAACCCCCAACTCGACGGACGTCAATGGAAAGCTTAGCCGTTTTTATTTATTAAAATTCTTGTTTATATATTATATTCACTATATTTTTACTAGAAATACAAATAATATATATATAGACAAATTTGTTTTTATTAACATAATACATTATTGATACATGGTAGCAATGCTGCAGATATATTATAATTATAGCACGAATAGGTCAGTTCAACTGGGGAAAGACCGAATACTAGTTTGAATTAACAGCTAAATATGCTGCTGTTTCGTTTGGTGAGCATTGCGAAATTGCTCTGAAATAAAGCGGAGACCCTTTAGGCATTCCATCTTACTCCTCAACAGTGACAATGCATCTGCATTTTGATTCCTAATAGAGGATAGATGTAGATGTCTAGGGGCCCCTGCATCCAGTTACCATCAGGTGGACCATATGCTCCTTTGCTTTTTCTGTTGCTTTATTACATTCTTTATTACATTGTGTAAATTGAGCTTTAGAGATATTAACAAAAGAAAAATTTTACCAACCTAAAATATTTTTCCACCAATAAATAACGAAAATGGTTTCCTTCACAGGGAAGAGGTTGTTCAATTGATTCTGTAATATCTTCTTCCAAATCGGAATCAATTGCCAGAGTATCATTTTGCTGTAGAGCTATATTGTGTAACACAGCTGTTACAACAATCACAGCTAATGTATGATCCAATTTTAACCTTAATTTTTGAGAAAGGCATGGAAATCTTCTTTTCCACACACCAAATGTCCTTTCAACTGTATTTCTGGTCTTGATTTGTGCTTCATTCTAGAGTTTTTCCGCATTTGTAGCTGGGTTTAAAAATGGTGTCATCATGTAGCGTCCACAAGTATATGCACTATCTCCAAGGAGGTGACCATCTATCTTGTAGTTATTCAGGCGTGCTCGGAGGAATGAGTTATTAAAAACTGTACTGTCATGTGTTGATCCATGCCAGCGGGCATCTATGTCACGAATTTGCAACTTTGCATCACACACAACTTGTACATTAATAGAAAAAAAAACCTTTTCTTATTTCTAAATAATTCTGCTTGCTCACCTCCAGGAGATTGAATAGGTATGTGTGATCCATCTACACAACCAATTACATTTGGAAATCCTGCGGTATCAAAAAATTGTGCTTTTACTTCTCTTAGGTCTACAACTCATACTTATATATACTTATATAACTCCTTGTTAGTTTGGCTATTTCCTTGCTTACTTTATATACCACTCTGGATACAGTTGTTTTGTGAACATTAATGTCGTCACCAATTACTATTTGGAAAGTACCGGTAGCATAAAATCGTAATGCTATGAAAATTTGTTCTAACACAGACAATGTGTACTTCCGATGCATAATGGGTACTAGAGCAGAGCTGATGGTATCACTTAGGTGTATAACAGTATTCTTATCAAAGCGATATCTCAATTGAAATTCTTCATCTGTAAACATTTCGAAAGGATTTCTCCTATGTCTTAAGTTTCTGGGTACTGATATACTAGAAATAAACTCCAGTACTTCCAAATCAGACTCGGAAGAGCTACGCGTATTCATTGCACTTCTAATTTTATCCCTTTAATATTTAAGTACTTAGCGCTCACCGGCAATTTATTTTAATAATAACACGGGGTATGTTCCGAAATACAACACAGTGTACTGTCCAATGCAAATTACGTCATGAATCGACGCTATACTGTTGATTCGTTCCAAAACATTGGACAGTATTACATTTAGTGCTCCAAAAATCATTATATCCTCCTAATGGATATACCATCAATTAATCTAAAATTTTTTGTATTTGAATAAATAGAAACAAATTCTAGCATGCTTCATTCGGCAAACACACAATTAAAAATTCTTTTATTATGGCCGGATATCCGACACAATATGGCGGCGGCACGCTAGTACAATAAAGTGCAAATGATACGTCATTTGCATTGGACAGTACACTGCGTTGTATTTCGGAACATACCCACGATATAACCTAAAAGTCGATGCAGTTTGCTTTAATTTAAGGAGTAATAGTGTTCTGTGTACGTCAAATAAAGTTATGGAACCGATAAACGGCACTGATTGGCCAGTTAAATTAAACTTAGTTTATCTTCCCTTGCGATGTTCGGAAACGCATTTTCATAAGTTATCGAACCAATAGCGCTAACGAATAGATAAACTGCCGATAAAAGTACCTCAAAAACTGGCCATTAGTCTATAGTTAAAAATCTTTTTATCAAATCAAATGTGTACCTCCATATGGACGTAGGAGATTAGGTGTTAAAGCAAAGCCTTAATCGCCAACAAGTATAAACGGTAATTCTTCGTGCAAGTTTTCATGAAGCGGTCTAGGCTTTGGTACATTTAAAGTACCATCATTGATCTTTTGCCAAAATGTACTATTTATAGTATAATCGCATTCCTTGCCATATGAGCCCACACTAATAAAAATAAATCGGTACTCTGAATCGACAACTGCCATTAATACAAAAGAATAATACTCCTTGTAATTAAAGAACATAGAACCACTCTTGGCTGGTTTCAAAATTCTGATATGTTTGCCTAATCCTGAAGCGATATCCTCCCATTCTCTCTCAGTATCAGGCAGCTTAAGGAAATCTGTCTTTAGGTTTTCCCAAACGACGTGGGTCATTTCTTTTATTAGTTCACTTATTATGGAAACGCCTACTCTGTATGAGTACTTAATGTATTTCTTTGAATGAACATCCTGAAGCTAAATATCTGAAAAAAAAATGTATTTTTGTTAATAGTACATTATTACTTTATACGTCACCAAGAAACAAATTGTATTGTTTTATGATATTTTTTTTTGATTTCAGGAAAACAGGTTTCAACTAAATGGAATAATATACGAGATCCGTGGCTTAAGACAGTAAAGAAACAAAAAGATGAGTCTAACTGGCGAAAGATCTGGATCTTCGGCCAAAAAGACACGAAATTATTTATATCACGAGCAATTAATGTTTTTGAAAAAAGTCTCCGAACTTCGACCACCACATGAGTCAGTTTCAAAAAAAGCAAGAACCGAGACTGAAGTAGGCATGGAATCAGATTTTCGTTCACCTTTAAATAAAGATAAAAGAAAAATTGATAATAAAGAGGTAAATGACAGGATGGTAAAATTTTTGGACTCCAGAATAAACCCAGAGATGGAAAACCATCATCTGTCTTTCTTCAAAGGCATTATACCAATCTTGAACACTTTAACTATCGAAGAGACTTTAGAATTTCAAGCTAGCGTCATGACAATGTTGCAAAAAATTAAAAGTAGGAATTATGAGAGACCAAATTACGGACATTGGCGTGATTCATATAATCAGATGACCGGACCAGATAAGTATTCTGGATACTACACACATAATAGCGTCGCTATTATCAACAGGCAACACCTACGCAAGATCAACACCAACCTGGATACTCTACGCAATATAATAGTAGCAATCAACAGGCAACAACATCTATACCATCAACTTCATCACAGACATCGAATCCGATTCCAGCTTCGCCATCAGCATCTAGTAATCATTCCATACATTCCCAAGACTCAGATTACTTAGATTTTGAAGGGATTTAAGTTTGAGTACAAATAAATACTTAAATAAGTTATTTGCATTTTTAATTCATAATGATTATCAAATACATACACCCTCCCACACACACACATTATATATATTCACATTCATCAAACAAACATACATAGCAAACATTCATTAATTCATTCAGTCTTAAGTAGGTACCTACGTCAAAACTATTATTACGCAATCTATTGCATAAAATAATCTTACCTTAGACATATGGCTAATCTTTGTTCTGGGCAAATACATTCTCTGAAACTTGTATCTCGTACTCTTATGTCTAGTCGTCCCAGTAAATCGTCTAAAGTGGTTGCTGTTATTCGAAAATAATTGAAGAACATTGATTCGTCTCTTCTAAGTTCACCTATTAATGTTTCAAATGTTCCAAGTGAAAATCTTTCCCGTAAAATAGGGTATACCCAATGTTTTCTTTTATTTTGCCTTCTATTAAGATAGGGCTGCCATACGTCCCGGTACACCGGGACATGTCCCGGTTTGAAGCGTTGTGTCCCGGTGTCCCGGTCAACAGGTCATTTGTCCCGGTGTGCACACAATTCGCAAGCTACCCCTGTGTAGTTAAGTGCAGCGTCTGCGATCGGCGAGTGGTTGAAGTGGAGCGGAGTCGAGCGAGCGAGCCTAGCTGCCTTCTTTGATTATTAACACGTGCGCGTAGGGTTGCCAACTTTTTCAAAGGAAAATAACGTATATTCCTTTCAGACGGTTATATACACTATAATTATTACTATTCCACCGAAACAACAAACGTTGAGCATAGAGTACAGAGTACAATATATACTGGAGACATTGACTGACACTTGACTGTACTGACAGTACAGATTTTTCGAAAGTTGTATGATAATGTATTTTGTTGTTATTCTGTTCTGTGTATGTGTGAAAGTATAAAATGATTGGAAATTCTGAGTAATGGACTGAGTTAAATTCAGAAATTTGGCAGAATTCTTGCTTTCATTCAATTCACACAATATTTCACGCATAAGTTAGAATAAAGTATTTTAGATACTTTTTTCTTATTCAAAAGTATAAAGTATAATCAAGCAAAATACCGTAAGATACGTTATTTTAAAGTATAGTTGGCAACACTACGTGCGCGTCCCGCGCCGCGTGCCCCTCCGCCCTCGCGCCTTGAACGTCACGCGTCGTCGCAGTGTTTCGTTTGATTGCTTTAGAGAACAACGTACTTAATTTGCGCTGCGCGTTATCCTGTATTTCGTAGTTTAGTTTTTTTATTGCCAGTCTGGTATTTTGCTAAAAAGTCATGCCAAAAAGAAAGTGTTTGTTTTCGGACGATTATACTAAAGAGTGGTCATTCATTAAAAGAGGAAGAAATGATTATGAAGCCTTTTGTTCAATTTGCGGCTTTCATATATCTGTCAGTCACGGCGGTAAGTCAAGTGTCAAAGACCATATCCAAAGTAAAAATCACAAGACGAAATTATCAGTTGCATCAACTTCTAGAGATATATCGACATTTATGATCACGCAATGTACTGCCGAAGACATGTTAATATGCGCTGCCGAACTGACCACAGCTTATAAAGTCGTAAAGCACCACCAATCGTTTAGCTCTTTAGATTGTACGACAAAACTGAATGCCGTAATGTATCCTGATTCAAGTATCGCAGCAAAACAATCAACTGCAAGAACAAAAGCTACTGCTATCATTAAACACATTTTAGCTCCACACTCGATCGCGCAAATTAAAACAGAAGTCGAAAAAGTTCCTTTTTACGGCATTTCAACCGATTCTAGCAATCACAAAGCCGAAAAGTTATTTCCACTGCTGATACAGTACTTTACGGAAAAAGAAGGACTGCAAATTAAATTACTAAAAATAGACTCATTGCCGAATGAAACATCTGATACAATCACTTCATTTTGTATAAAATCGTTGCAGGATCAGAACATCCCCGTACAAAATATTGTTGCTTTCAGCGGGGATAACACAAACACTAACTTTGGCGGAAGAGATAGGTACGGAGTTAACAATGTTTTTTTTTAAATTAAAGGAGATTTTGTCCAAAGACATTGAAGGCATCGGTTGCCCAGCGCACATTCTGCACAATACAGCGTCCACTGCTGCCGATGTGATGTCGATTGACGTGGAGTCTATTGTTCTGAAAATTTTCAAGTATTTTTCCATATTCACTGTAAGAGTGGAACGGCTTAAAGATTTTTGTGAGCAAGCAGCAATAGAATACAACAATATACTCTCACATTCCAGAAGTCGGTGGCTTTCACTACTTCCAGCAATTGAACGCATACTAAAGTTATGGCTGCCATTGAAAGAATTTTTCGCTAAGGAAGCAAAAGCCCCAAAAGCTGTAGTCGATTTTTTTGCTGATCCCTTATCAGAAGTTTACACACTTTTTGTGCACAGTCAAGCATTTCTGATTGAAAAACAAATTAAAAAAAGATTGAAAAATCAGTTATTACCATTGTTGAAGTGAAAAATGTATTACAGGATACAAAAAAACAGTTGAGTGACAGATTGATAAATAAATATTTAGGCAATCAAACAACACAACTTTATAACAAACTAAAGAATGAAGGCACAATTAATACAAGTCAATCCGAAACATTTGACAAAGAAACAGGAGATTTCTTTAACACTGCTATATGTTATCTCGAACAGTGGACAGAGCCGATGACAAAATTTGATGTTTTCGCTTGGATGATTTTAAATGATATTCCTCAATGGCAACAAGTAGAAGAAACTACAAAATATTTAAATGAAAAGGATATAGGAATAGATGATTCAATGTATGAAGAATTTATGTACTTAAAATCGTTTATTGAATGTGAAATCAGCGATGAATGGAAAGCTAAAAATATGGAAGCAAAATGGAAACACTTTTTTTGAAAAAACCGAAGAACTGGAAAGAAAAGCAAATCTTCTTAAAATGTGTCAATATATTTTTGCAATCCCAGGCCACAATGCTCACGTAGAACGAGTGTTTTCGTTAATTTCAGCGCAGTGGACGAAAGAACGAAGTTCACTCAGTGTAAGCACAATCGAAAGCATCATTCAATGCGTTTATAATTATAAAATGTCATGCACGGAATTTTATAATTACGTCAAAGGGGAAAAGGAATTACTGAAAAAGGTTAAAAGTACAGAGAAATATGAATGGGCAAAAAAAAAGGACGTAGTGTAAGAGTTTCTTATTTTTTGATTAAATTTTCTTAAATATTACCAGTGTTTTTGTATAATCCATGATTTACCCTATTTCTGTTCTAAATGTCCCGGTCGGCGTCTCGGAATTTATGGCAGGCCTATATTAAGATACCACCACAACACAACAATTTCGACGTCCATTGTGCGCGCAGGTCCAAATTCAACTGAGGTGTACTTGACTGTCTGAATTTCTTCCGGGATCCGATGTAATGTGAACACTCTGTCCGGTGTCCGGTTTCCGGCAGATCTGCCGGTCCAGCGTAGTGGGCCGGGCCTAAGCTGCTGTCAACTGTGATAAGTGCGTCGGGAGTACCGATTTTGCTTGGACAATTTCAATTCCCATCTAAATTAGTTCACACAATCACCACGCAATACTAAACTAATTTAGCGCTGGAGTCGCTTTCAAGAGTAGAGTACCAAACGTTACAATCACAGAGTACCTTTATATAAATTACAATTTCAATCCCGATCGATCGGAATTGTTTTTAAGAGTACGCCTGCAGTTTGGTGCTGATTATTTCGAAATTGTTCATCGTCAGTTTAACATTATAACATGGCTAAACGTCCAACTCTAGCACAAATGGAAACCTTAGTTGAATTTTTAGAACAAAACGTCGGAATTGCGAAAGGTCTGCTACGGACAAATCAAGCAAAAATGGAAATAAAGAGGCAATGGGCATCTGTAGCTATAACTTTAAATTCATTGGGAGGAGCAAACAAAGATGGGCAAGGTTGGGCTAAAGTAAGTCTTAAGTTTATATAAAAAATAAATACTGTTTTTTTACCTGTTAGATATATTTAAATAACTTATCCATGGTTTTTAGTATTGGGCAGAGAAGAAATGTGCCTTGAAAAAATTGTGTGCTCAGCACAGCAAATCCATGAGACGCGCTGGTGGTGGTTCCTCTGATGACCTGCCCATGTTATCAGAGTTGGACAAGAGATTGGTGGCAGTTATGGGTGGTCAAGAGTTTGCTGTTAGAGATTCTCAACTTGCAGTTGATCCTTTTCACCACACGGTAATTATTCATAAAAATCTTGTAAACATAGTTACTATACTAACTTTTAAATAAAATGTTTGTTAGTCTATAAGAAAATTTGTATTATCTCTGTAGCCTTATAGATACATCTTTATACTCATATGTTTGTAAATTTTTAGGAACATCAAATGACACAATCAGTCCCTGCGGCTTCACAAGCAGAAAATGTAAATTTAGATTTAGAAAATCAAGCAGCAGTGATAGGAAGTTGTACTTCCCCTATTCCTGGCACCTCCCAGGATACACCACAATCACCTCCGCGTAAAAGTAAGTAATTTTTTTTATAGAAGAGGGGAAAATAAGCATGCGGCTCACCCGATAGTGGTGACTGCCACCCATGAACAACTGCAATACCAGTTATTGCAGGTGCTTTGCCGGCCTTTAATTTTCTATCATTAACCAAAACTAGAATGTGACTAACATTAACCAAAATTTTGCCCCATTTTTAATTAATGAAATTTAAGTATATTATGACCTTGCTTTATGGCATTCCTTGGAGGCCTAGGATCAGCAGTGGACTTGTGAAGGGCTGCAATGATGATGATGATGATGATATAATATATAATAGTCCCTTTAGCTTCGAGTGGTGACAGACTTGCAATTTGTAGGCATTATACTTATAAGTGACCTAAAAAGGTTCAAAAATACAGATGGTGATCTGAACAAAAGAACTGGTCGGTAATAGTCACACTGAAAACAAAAGAAGGGCCGATAACTTTTGTTATGGACACCAATAATTTTGCAACTTGCATGATTTATGATTTAACGTAAGTGGCATATTATAGAAAAAAATAGTCTACGAAAAAAGCTTTCACTTGCATCGTGACATTCGTGTTTTTCACACTTTGAGTTTTGCTGAGTGTTTTGGAAGTGTGTTGTGTCGAGTTGAGAATATCTCCTCTGCCTAATTCCTACTAAAGTTAATGGAAAAGAGGTAAGACGTTGGAAAAAAATGAAACATACAAAAAGGTTGACTAAGCATGACTTGAAAAAAAAGCCCTAAAATGTATGCCTTTATATTTCATTTTAGATTTTCTTGTACTAATATGAGCTTAAATCTGTCTATACGCAGATTAGGATACATTTGCTTCGTCTTAATTGAATTAGCTGAAAGTTTTGCCTTACCTTCACACTCAATAATTTGGTTAAAAACAACAATAACAAATGAAACTAACACAATTTTTTCTGAAATAACACAAAAATGTATGTAAACACGTTCTACATAACGCATGGAACATGTAAATTATACATCAAAAAAATCTCATGTCGAAATCTAAGGTCTCATGCCAAAACCGCCGATGGGCGGGCCAAGATACTTAATCGAGATGCCGGACCCGCCGATGGGCGGGCTGAACACTAATATAGGATGGCATGGGGGTAATGTCATTTCTTAAGAAAGCAGTGAATGGGTTAAATAAATAAATGTTAAGCATGTCATTTTCTTAAGTAGGGTAAAAGTGTTTCAAAAAGTTTTAGATATTTGTAAATTCTATAATGCTTAAAACTTTCAATCTAAAATATTTGATCTCAATATTAAATGTCCATATTTTATGGACGTGGACTGGATGCATTTATATCAGAAACATCACTTTTAAAATATGCTTTATTTTAATTTCAGAATCAAAACTTAAATCCATTCCACATGTCAGGCATCGTTCTGCCACAAGAAATAATAAAGACATGGAACGGCTGGTACAAATTGGGGAGCAGCGTGTCAGGGCAGAAAATATAACCGCACAAGCATTGGCCGATGTTTCTGCTGCATTAGAACGAAATGTACAAATTCAGGAGCAACGTGTCAAAACAGAAACTATAACTGCACAAGCTTTTGCAGATGTTTCTGCGGCATTAGATCGTAATGCTGTTGCTGTTGCAAATATAGGCAGAGCCTTGGAGGGTTTATCTGCTGTCATCAACAATGCTATTATAGAATTTGCAAAAAAAAATGCAATGACAACAAATAGCATTTCTAGGTAACTTAAAATAAAAAAATTTAAATTTTTATTGCTGTTTTCATGTTTAATTTTTTTTGAATTAAATTTCCATTGCAGTAACAACTTATTTTTTGTTAAACTTAAAGTGTAATTTTGTTAATTTTGATTTTAAATTTTAACCATATATTATATATTAAAATCAACATATTTTTGATAATTTCATGTAAGATATGGTTATTTTTTATATGGCTATGGCTATTTTTTAACAATGAATCTTACTGGAAAGTTTAAATGTAGGTTAAATTATATAGCTCCTAGGTCTAGTTTATATATTAATATTAGGTTAAAAAGATCAGTAAATTTTGTTTTATAATATTTCAAAAAAGTTATGTAATTATTTGCTCTTGAAATATTTGTGTTTATTAAATTAAATATTTGGTTCAACATTTTTACAGTTTTATTTTGAAATTACAATTACATTAATATTAAGTTAAAAAAGTTAAAATTAAGATACAAAATAACTATTTTAATCTTTGTAAATCACATATGTAGTCTCTAATTTATTTCAATAATTATACATTTAAAACATGTGTTGGGTTTTCTTTTAAATTACACTAAGGTACAGAAAAAGCAAGACTATAGTGGTTTTACTTTTTTTTAAATCATATTTTGTTTGGGTTTAATGCAAAGTAACTTAATTTAGTTATTGTAATATACACAAAAGAAACAATAAAAATACAATTATACTTAATTAAAACATAATACATAATTAATAGTACAAAGTACCTAATATTACATTGTCCTAGCAGCATAGAGATGTTGAACTAAGGCAGCTCTTTTTACAATTCCTTGCCATAGTTCATCAGCAAATGTAATATTTAAAGATTCTTCAGGGATAGCAGTATCTACTGAGTCATCTCTTTCAATTGCACTATCCTCTAACTACTCATGCATGAGATCTCTTTTATTACACATATTATGTAAAACACAACAAGCGATCATTATTTTTCCTGCTAACATCGCCATCTATTTTTTAACATACCTATTGCACGCTCTACAGTGTTACGAGCTGAGTACTGCAACTTATTATAATATCCTTCAGCGGAGTTTGGTGGTTATCATATACCACTTTGAGCATATCCTGAGTCTCACCTATAAATAAATAATGTATGGTGTGGTATGATTTAAACATCACTCATAATGTTCTTCCTCGCTTTTATTATGCTCACCTAATAAATACATATTTTCTCCTGAACTAAGCAATGAAATGATATGGTTTTTAACTGGATGCTGGTTCCATATAAAACTATCATGAGAGATTCCGCCAAAATATGCATCCACTGACAGTATATTTAAATCAGCATCACATATCTGGAAATAATTAAATATATTTTCATCATAAAATATTATTATAAGATATTTACAAATGCTTACAATTAAAACATTTCTTGAATGAAATTGTTTTCTGTTGAAAAACCTCTCATTTTCTGTGGGTCTAACAATACTTATGTGTGTACCATCAATGCAACCCAAAACAGCAGGTATATTAAATTTTTCATAAAATCTGAAATATATTTGTATTACTATTAACAAACAAAGTTACAAAACAATAAATATGTTAAAATAAATACATGCAAGTAATTGTACCTTCGTTTTATAGAATCTCTTTCTTGACGTGTTTGCGGAAATCTTATCCATTTACCAAGGATATTGGAATAATTAAGAGCATCAGTCACTTCTCTGATGGCACGAGATAGATTGCTGAGACATCAATGTGCCATATATTCCAACAACTAATTTTTGGTAACTTTCAGTAGCATAGAACGACAAAGCTATCACTGCAAACGCAGTTAATAATATACATAAAATTACAATATAAAAGAACCTATATAATTTTATGTTAAATAGACACCTATAATAGAAATATAAGCAAATGGAGTTAAATCACTAACTTTATATTTAGGTGATATATCACTTTTTCTCTTCGGAGATTGCATATACGGCTTTAATTCGTTCATTACTTCTTCAAAAAAGTCCTTAGTCACACAGTAATTAGCCCTAAACTCAACATCACTCATGGAAAAAGCTTTTTTGTCCATATATCACATCATCACAGAACACTATTACCACATCATACTAAGGTGGGCGTTGAATGAACGGTTTTTTTCGACAGTTTATTTGCCGTCGACTGTTAGACCGGTTTATACTTTATAGTCTACTGCAAGTCAGTAATCTATGGTCTACTACAGTGTTGGGAAATAGTTGGTGTGAAATTATGGTGTTGCCAAGCTAGAAAATATTGTATTTTGGGTAGAATTATTGTATTTTTTTTTGCTAAGGATTTTTTTTATTTATTTAAGCTGTCTAAATCCTTCAATAGGTTTTTGCTATTTCTTTATATTTGCATAAACTAAAAATATGTTATTAAATGTTTTTTTTTATTAAAATAATAAAACTTAGGGCACGGAATTATCCCCCCCCGAACGGGTTCCCGCCTTGTCGTGGCGGGGGGGCTTAGTATCCGTGGCTTGGTGTCCCACGGTGAACAAAGAGGAACCCACGTGGCTGGCCCGAGGTGAAGGGCCGGCCTGAGGTTGCCGCTCCGAGTGGGCTTGGGGAGCCCACTTCGGATGTGTGCTGGTGGACTGCAGCGAGTGGGGACTCGCGCACCCTCTACCGCTGCAGCCGAGGTGGAGTCGCGGAGGAAGAGGAGTGTTGGTATGGCGATGCGCCACTCGCCCTATCCTTCGCGACTCAAACGGGGCCGCACCGTTGATGCGGTGGTAGTGGGGCTGCGGGGGGAGAGGATTCTCGGTATTGCGAGGCGCCGCTCTCCCTACCCTCCACAGCCGAATCGTACGACGTAGTTGGAGGCCGTGGAGGAAGGCGCGCCATGTGTTCTGGTGCGCCTTACCTGGGAAGGAGAACGGGGAGGAATTTTCCTCTCCCGAGGAGGTGCTGCCATGGGGCGGCAGGCGCTAGTAGGGCCGCGGATGTGTGCGAAAGCGTTCCCGTAGCCCTGCCAATATGCGACAAAGGTGGAACACCATGGGGTTTTAGTCGGTGCGAGTCCGACATAACCCGTCCTTGCCCCGCGAGGCGGGTATGCGTAGGCATTTCCCCATGCAAAAAAAAAGGGCACAGAATTATACAATATGAACTAAACAGGAATGGAAAATTTGAAGTCGTCTTCTTCTTCGAGTTCGAAATCTCGACGTGTAGATGTAGACGGATTCGACTGCTGAGAAGTTGTTGCATACAGGACATTGGACACAATTTGATTTGCTAATTGTTTCGTGGGTTCGAATGATATACATTCCCATACAAGACGTTTTGTGCTTTTAGAAGCGATAACTACATTATTTGATATAAGTACGTGATGCGTTCGTTCATACATTTTAAAGTTGCGTGTGTCTAGTATTGAACTTATATTGTGTAAAAATAGGAAAATATTGTATAAAAGCGTACAACAATGAGAAAGCTATGTTTTATGGTACAATTTAGTTTCATGTAACAAATTATTGTAAGAATCCAATAATTATTGTACATTTTCCAACCTCTACTGATAAACTAGTTTACCCGTGAACGACATTTTGCATCGCGCACATACACCGTTGAATGCACCGTTGAATTGCCGAAAGCCGAAACTGTTTCGTTGGCCACTCGTCGATCAAGCATTCCGTTCTCTTCACACCTGCTTGTTTCGACGACTATCTCTCCGTCTGCACGTGCTTGACTATCGAACCATTGAGTGGGAGGTGTTTTGTAAAAATAAGCTCTATTTCAATGGAAATATATATGAAATATGCATGCCAATATAAGGCGTAGACAGGTTTTTGAATTTCGTTTACGTTAGTTTTCAGTCTCCAACTCTCCATTGAAGTACGCTTTGCATTGGTCGAAGTTAAACGTATTTGTACATTGATTAAAACCACTTTTACATCTTGTAGAGGAATATGACACTTCAAGTGTCATATTCCTCTACAAGATGCAGGAGTGTACAAGCTTGATTGTGATTGTGGTCTCTCATATATAGGGCAAACAAAGAGATCAATTAGAACCCGCGTAAAAGAACACATAGCTGACGTGAAGCATCAACGTTCCGGGAAGTCTGCAGTTTGCGATCATATTCTAGATGGCCCCAACCATTACATCAGATTTGATAGACCACAAATCCTCGCGAAAGAACATCGATTCCTACCAAGGATGATACGTGAGGCTATTGAAATTAAAAAACATCCTAATTTCAATGGAGAAAGAGGCTGGGTACTACCACCTGCTTGGGATCCTATAATTAACAAAATTAAAACTAAACCCAAGCATACCACTGCAAGACTTCAAAATACAGTTAGTTCATTCTGCGTAGATCGGACTAAAGACAATAATTAAAAGCTGAAGGTACTCCGGGTTAACTTTGACATCGGGACGTCAGTCACCTCAGTCCCCCGTGACCATGGATGCTGGAAAGCACCCGAAATGTCGGGTATTAAAATTAATATAAATAAAACGCGATAAAATCCGTAAAAGTAGTTTTAATCAATGTATAGTGTTCGCGTAAATATAAGAAATCATTACGTATTTGTACATTTATAATTGAAGAGATTAACTAAAGTATAAATAATTATTCAAAGTAGGTTTAATTTCTAGTGTTAATAATAATTGTGTGAACAGTAATAGTGTTTAGTGTTAAGTGTTATGGTTAGGTATAGGTATTTAAGTGGTTAAATAGTGTTAATATTAATTATGTCGGCGTTGGCCCGTAAAATCAGTAGTGTGATATGGCACCATTTTGAAGAAGACAATAAAACTTTTAAAGCAACGTGTAATGGATGTAAAGATGTGTTAAGTTATAAGTCATCCAACGCCAATTGAAAAAGTCATCTGCGAAGGAAACATCCTTCGATTTATTTATCGGTGTTCGGAGCTGATGATGACCATTCCGGTCATTCGTCTGGACAAACGAATCAGGGACAAATTCGCAGTGCTTTGTACGCGGAACCCATTCCAGCTACGTCCGGTTCTTCGTTGGGAGAACAACCGTTACTTGAGCCAGCCCAGCCTTCAGCTAAACGACAAAAAGTTATGGACGCATTTTATACTAAAAAATTAGTACAGATCAAAAACAACAAATCGACAAGGATTTACTTGATTTATGTATCGATTCTTTTCATCCATTTTCTATTGTCGAAGAACGTGCTTTTAAAAAAAATTGTAGATGGATTCCCGGCTATAAACTGCCAACTAGGAAAACGTTATCCGGGTCATTATTACAGGAAACTTATAATAAAGTAGAGGCCGAAATAAAGACTCGTGTATTTCAAGAAGTTCAAACAATTTGCATTACAACTGACCTTTGGACGTCAAGAGTGACGGAGAGTTACATTGCCGTCACGGGACATTACATAAGCAATGAGTTAGAATTTATATCTGTGTTGTTGGGTTGCTGTTATTTTTCTGGAAGCCACACAGCCTCAAATATCGCATCCGAGATTGAGGAAATTCTTAGTAGGTGGAATATTAGAGGTAAAGTGAATTTTGCGGTAACCGATGACGCCGCAAATATGGTAAAAGCCATTAGGGAAAATCTAGGAATTAAGCATTTCAGTTACTTTGCACATACGCTTAATTTGTTGGTGGATGACGCACTTAAATTACAAGAATGTTTAATAGATAAAATAAAAAAATTGTATCCCATTACAAAAGAAGTACGTTGTCCTCAGAGAGTCCCCAGAGAATAGTCAGAGAATAGTCCACTGCCATGGTGGAAAAACCATCGTCACGTATATCCCAATTTATTAAAACTATTTATAAAAATTGTAACATAGTAGCAACATCGGTTCCATGCGAATGAATGTTTTCAAAATCGGGACTGATTTTAACTCAAAGAAGACCAAGATTATCTACGACCAAAGTAGAACAATTGATGTTTTTACATGTCAACCTTAACGAAAATAGGTTTAAAAATTACATGTAAATAGATTTGACTTGTAAATATATACTATGTAAATAAGAATCAATTGATTATGTACATAAAATGATCTTTTAAATACGCCAGGCATACACTAATATAGGTAATCCTGATTATACGATTAAGTATAACTAGCCTGCCAGTCCTAAGCCTGGAAAGAGTATGAAGGGAAGTTCATTTTACACAAAAATAGTTAACTAAGCCTAATGTTATCGCTTGCCGACCGAAGTCTCTCGTTGATTACATCACATAACACCAGTCTTACTATTTAAATAACAGTTCACTCTAGTCGTCGTTTACCAATTAGCGAATCAAGGTAGAACGACAACTAGTTTATATTGACGTAAACTGTTCATCATTCATGTTTCGTCGAAAGCATAAACTAGTCGAAAAAAACTGTTTTCTAAATTAGTTTATCGTTGACGATAAACAGTCTCGTTTCTTCGACTGTAAATACGTCGACGACCCATTTCTACATCATACGTCGTTTATTTCGCCTTTGTTTTAATTGTAATGCACGGTTATGTCGCTGAATAATGACCGGAAGAGCTACACGTGCCATAAATTTATTGAAAAAAATAATACACTTGCAGAAAACAAATGATTAATTTCACCACAATTCTAAAACGCTACTTAATTCCAACCCAATATCTTTCAGTTTATACAAAGGTACTCTGTGCCAATCCAATATACAGCGAAATACAACCCAGTACACTGTCGAATGCGAATGACGTCATGAATCGACGCTATACTGGTGATTCGTTCCAAAACATAGGCACATATAATGTCGTACCTTTACGCCATATTGGAAAAGTGTTGGCGATTATTTAATCATTTTGTGCTCCAAAAATCATTATATCTTCTTAATGAAGATACAGCAATTGTTCTATATTTTTTTGTATTTGAATGAATAAAAACAAATTCTGGCATGCTTCATTCAGCGAACACACAATTAAAAATTGTTTTATTGTGGCCGGATATCCGATGCAATATGGCGGCGGCACGCTAGTACAACATAGTGTCAATTAATGACGGCATTTGCATTTGGCAGTGTACTGAGTTGTATTTCGAAACATACCCCAAACACAATACGTAGCTGTCAAAAGAGCGTCGGGAGTACCGATTTTGCTTACAATCGGATTGGACAATTTCAATTCCAATCCCAATTAGTTCACACAATCACCACGTAATACTAAACTAATTTAGCGCTAGAGTCGCTTCGTTATTACGCTTTTATCGCGTATACTTTCTGATCAGATTGAGCGAAAAACATACTGCATTAGGTAGTTAAAAACATACATCGAGCATAAACGCGCTGGAGTGTACATTATTAATGTGTGTAGATAGTATTTATATAGTACACAAAATAACACTAATATTATAATTAAACTTATAATTACTTCCTGTTCGCCTGACAATTCCGTGATAAAAATAAAAAATATACTATGTAGATTATACAACATACGTTGACTAATATTGACCCTTGAATTTACTTCTGTAACAGCTTCGGCGGGGCGGGTCTGCTCTCCCTCCGCGCCTACGGATTTACAAAAACACTCTAGGCGTAGGGCAGACAAGACTACGTAGAGTCGGGGCATGCTGATTCAGTTTTAGAAAATGTCGAAATGTTTCGACCAATCGTCTAATTAGCCGTGTTTTCGCGATCACCATAGATTTTTTCCAAAATTCGGTTTATCTTATTATTTTCTTACAACATGTATAAAGTACACATAATTATATTTAATTTTTATTTTTTTATTTATTTTATATACATACAACGTACACACAGTCATTACAGGATGAGCACCCTAATTCGACAGTGTAGCCAACGATACAATACCATATGCCACTCTACTAGTGTATATATTCTTTGACTCTACTGAGCTCACTCCGCCGACGGTGACGGCCGCCGCCGACGCCCCGCGCACACATCCGGCGCATTGAGTCGCACCATCTCCAGCACTCTCGGGTTGTGTATCCTACCCGTCATCACCTTCAACACGTACATAGCGAGAGCTACTTCTCTTCTGACTTCGAGTTTGTAGTATCCTACTATACCGAGCAAAAATATACCTCTGAGTCTCGCCGTGGCAAACCTAATCACATTTATAGCGATAACGGCACGAGCTTTATAGGAGCCAACAAGGTCTTACAGCAGAAATATGAAGAGCTCCTCAAAACATTTGGTGATGAGTTCCTCTCAGAAGTGTCCGAGATGAGTATAAATTGGCACTTGAATGCACCGACACGTGGCCGTCAGCCAATGGTATTTGTGAAGGAGCCGTGATAAGCCTCAAGTATTATCTAAGGAGGGTGGTTGGTGATCAAAAACTCACCTACGAGGAGTACAGCACGCTGCTAACACAATTAGAAGCTTGCTTAAATTCGAGACAACTATGTCCATTGACGGAGGACGCTGATGATTTAAATTATCTAACCCCATCACATTTTCTATCAAGCGGTCCGATTCTATCAATTTATGAGACGGAACGAGATCTTAGGCTTAGGTGGCATTTAACACAAAAAATATTCCAAGACATTTGGAAAAGGTGGCAACAAGAATATTTAACAAATCTATCAGCTCGGAGCAAGTGGCGCCAACCTCAAGAAAATATCAAATGACATCGTACTCATCAACGATGGTAACCTTCCTCTAGGCAAATGGGTCCTCGGTAGGGTAGTTGAATTGCACCCTGGTAATGACAGCTAC